AGTGCACTGTGGGCAACTATTAAGCAAATCACATGATTTTTTCAATCTAAAAAGTCCTTACCCCATGGTTATAAAAATTAAATGAGGACACTTAGGCAATTTTTACTACTTCTGAACAGTGCTCAGTAAATGGTGACTGTTATATTTATCATTAGAACAATCTCTGTCTATATGAAGTGACCGGACTAATGATTTTGAATGAAACAACTGAAGTGAAATTGTGACGAGTGTAGACAACCCATTAAAGGAGTCTAAAATGGAGGGAATCAAGAGTTTATTTCTCAACTGCAAACAAATATATTTATACTGTAAGTAAGTCAATATTGCTGGTATAAAAAATGCCAACGGAGAATATCATCTCTGCAGACCCACTCAGCTTTAACATCCTGTCAGTCAGTGTATAATTCTAAGCCACACATCTTACCATATAATTCGTTGATGCCTTTAGGTTTCTGCAGAAGCAGAAATGACTGAACTGGGGACAATACATGGTGTCTCTGTTAACAGAGAAGGCTTCTCACAAAGTTTTTTATACCCTCTATGTATCTTAGAGTCAAATGCATTTTGCCATTTCAGGTATTCAGCTTTGAACTGTAAAAATTGTGTGTGGTTTAAAAAAATAACCTTGTAGACTTTTGTCCTTTAGCTGTGAATGAGAGCCAGAAAATCAAGTAGAAAATATTTAAAAGCCCAATTGACAATGACATCTCCATGATTAGGGATACTATTTGCCTTTTAATAGAAATCCTGACATTTCATTTTAATCTGAATACTCAAGGAGTTTGGGTCATCACATAAAGTTGGCAATGTCACCCTGTGCGTGTGACTTGGGTTTGGATGAAAAAGAAATGGTGCTAGTATCATTTACTCAGAGCTAGCTACTGTACCAACTGTTCTATATGCCTTCAATTCTGACAGCCACCATGTGTGTTAGACATAACTGTTTCCATTTACAACAATAGAAACCAATGAATATGAAGTGTAAGTTATTAACAAGGCCCATTGGCACGTCAGTGGCTGAGGCTTGTTTCGAAAATAAGTCAGTCTGATGCAAGTGTGAATTCTTAATCCCCACCACTGTCCAAAGCCTCCTTCTTTATGGGAATATCATTTCTAGAAAAGAATTATTTATTTTCACGTTGATAACCCAGATACTCAAAGATGTAACTTTTAATAATATATGCTGTGCTTTTGGTGTGGGATACAGCACAGTGAATAATGACTGTCTTTTTTGACATTGGTGATGGAAACCAAAAAAAAATCATCTATCTCCATGTTACATGTGGAAAGTTCATTTGGACTAGCAAACAGTCAAAATGTTTGATTTTGACTTAGTGGCTACTATACTTTTCATGATGGTGACATTTTGTTAGAATTACTCTTTAAGATATTTTTTTCATATGCTTTTTTTGTAAGATGCCTCAAATTTTGAGATTGTGAAGTGTGAAAGGGATGTTCTTCAAATCATTTTATTAGTTCTCTCAGCCTTCATGGGAATAGACACATGACGATTCCATGAGCTTTCAAGTCAGGCTAATATGTGACCAGCAAATAATCCCAAGCACAAAATTTGTATAAAAATAGTAATGGGTAACCAGGAGATTTTTAAGAAAATCTATCTGTTCTGCTCCTTGTAAAATGCATATTGTGGTGCTTGAGCAAAGCTTCTTTCACATACTTCAGAATTCCACAGTTCTTTCTGCGGCTGATTTTTAAATCATCCAAATGTAGAGAGGGACAGATCAGCTGTTACTTGAGCTGCTGCTGAGTGGAGCCCTTATTCCTCAAGGAGCCTTCCAGGCCCCATGTGCTCCATTCACACATTCTCCAAGAACGTGTACTGGGCACCTGTCGCGTTAAACTCCTTCCTCAGCACTGAATGAGATACAATAAATAGAACAGGTGCTCTGTCTCCAGGGGCCCAAACAAAAGGCAAACCCAGGAAAAATTAGAATACAAAGGTGCTATAAATGAAAGTGTTTTAAAGTTCTATTAACTGCACCAGAGGGGTCACCAGATTGACAGCTGTGATTCAAGAAGCTTTGGGGGGAGGTACCCTTGAACTATATCTTGAAAGCCAGATGTATCACCAGGCAAAGGCAAAAGTAAATGTCACAGAATAAAAGACTTTGAGCAAAACTACAGCAGTACGAGGAGCTTGAGATCCCTGGGAGGTAGGCTGAAAGCTAGTTTATTCATTTAAAATTTATATATCCAAAATAAAACACATGACTGAGGAAGAAGTATTGGTAGGAATGTCTGGGAGAAATGTGTGACAGGACATGTTGCACAAAGAATTTGAACACTATATTGAAAATAATGGCAATGGGATATTGTTTGAAAATAAGACAGAGCCACAGACAGGCATTCTTAATAGAGTAGCCTTTCTCCTACAGTGTGTAGGACAGGTTAAAGTGGCAGCAAACTGGAGGAAGGATCTAAGTCATGTAAGAGCTAGCAAAAGAGAGAACCAGGCACATGTGAGAAACCATGCCAGGCAGGCACTACCAAGGGTAGCTGATTAAATGTAGGAGAGTGAGCACACAAAGAAGGCAAAATGATGGCAATGACTGAGGCCATGTATTTGTGGAACACCAGCAGGTGCCCAGAAAGATTTTTTATGATAGAAAGTTAACTCTCCTTGGAAAATAGGCTTATGCAACAAATATCGGCTGAATGAAAACAAAACTAACAAAGGACCATACTACCCAAACCAGAAATTTTAGCAGACTAAGCTGGCATATTTTTATATTTGATTAGGAAAACATTGAGCCAATATGGCATTTTAATATATCATTGAAATGATAAGAACTTTAAATATATATTGAAAATTTTATCTAAGACTTTCTATCAAGAAAATGGACAAATGGAAATATCAATTAGTGTGTGTGCTAAAATGGCATCTGATTTGAAGCATAACATTAACAATGATTTATTCTTAACTTTGTATATAATAATATAAAGCTTGTGTATTATGCTTTAAAGAATATATTCTCCATTTGTGCTACAAAAAAATAATATAAACCTAGAACTTGGTTTGCTAATGCCCAGCAAGATTCTGACACGTGAACAGCTTCAGCAGCATCTATGAAGTACTGAGAGCAAAGTCTCAAGTATAAAACCAATTCATTCCTAAAAATAACCTGACTCAAGTCCTTTTAATAGTTCTCTCAGCTCACCCTGTGAGTGTAGACATCTCCACATTCTATCTGAACCTTTCAATTCAGGTAAGTGTGTAGCCATCAAATAATCACAAAACAGAATTTCTGGCAAACTATGGGAATGGATTACCAAGGGATTTGAAAGACATAGATATTTTCAAGCTTATAAAGATTCCCTTGATTTTCAGGAACAATAATTAATATATGCACCCAGGCTGAGGTTATATCTCCATCATCAAAGATCTTAAACTTTGACTATGAATTTGTCCTAAAGGCCAGGCAGTGTTAAGGCTAGTTAACTTATTAAGAGGCAAGTAAACAGTTAAGTATCCATGGAGTGATGCTGTGGTGAAGTCCTGACTCCTCCACTCCCAGGAGGCTGTAAAATCTGAACGACTGAGAGAATATCCCTCACAGGGTTAAAGACAATATGCAGTCATGCACATCAAAGCGTTTGGGAAGCACATTGTAAATGTAGATGCTCAATAATCGTCAGGCGCCATTATTGTTCTTTTAGTTTGACTTCCATTCTGCACTCAGTGGAAATTTTAGAGGTTGCTTGTGTAATTATGAAACACAATTCTTACATTTTCAATTGCTTGGTATAAATGTGAAAAGTTAATTCAAATTGCATTCTGATTTCATCAGTGCATCATCACTGTTTCGTCTTTTAAGCACCAAGATCATGTAATATATAAGACAGATGCATCATGAAGTTTACCAGTAGGATGTGTGTCTCCTTCATCACCTTAGGTGCTCTGTTGAGTGTAAGGAGTGAATGTGGAATAATTGCATGGGCTCTGAGACACCACATGGAATAAGAACATGAGTTTATCAATGATCTGTGGGCTCCTTACCAGTGGAGTCGCAGTTTTGTCTGGGTCCCCAGTAGAACCCCTCATAGTCAGTCCTCAGCGGAAGTGGGTGAGTTGTCAGCGCACCAAATGAACAAAGGTGTTTCTCTACAAACAGTGCAGAGTCGAAGGTCTGCTCGACCTGCCTGACACGGTGTGTTACTTGTCTGAGAGTCCTCTGTCCCAGCACAGTGCCTGGAGTGGAGCAGAAGTTCAATACCTTGTTCCAAAGAATTACAGCCTCAGCTAAGGGTTGGTCTGCATAGAATAAGGTATGTATCTCTTCTTTAAAGTAACATAAAACACATATTATTTTACATGAAATTCCACTTGTTACTACTGTTTTTCAGTTAATTTCCAAAACAGATTTACAAATAATGAATACTAGTTAACTGAAATATTATATTTTCTGGTTTGGTCTCTATCTAATGTATTGTAAATGACAAGGCCAAGAAGAAATCACCAGTGTTCTGGAAGATTGAGATTAATCCAGGCTCACACTTCAGCATCTGAATAGATGTGTTTTCTAAGTGCTCATTTAGGACTACAAGTGGATGACCTATAACTTTTTCTGAAGTAAAGGAGGACCAGGATAATTCTTAAGGAAACGGGACACCTAAACCGATAGTGTGCAGAGGGAACACTACTCTGATTAGGTAACTACCCTGGTATTTACTTGAGACTAAACAACATGGATTTCACAAATGCAAAATGGTATGTATGCTCAAGATATGTGTATATATTTCAAAGCTCTTTGTGGGAACACACAATTTAAAAAATAGAAGACAGTATGAAGATTCCATGTAAATCCCTTGCATGAAAAGAATCAAATCACCTTTTATCCCTGATGTCTTCGGGTAGGAGAAAGCAAGAAATCCTATTACGTTCTACCCACCTTCTGTAACATCCTCAACCATTCTTCATTTCTCTTTATCATTAAAAAAGTATCAGCTTTTAACCAATAAACTTACTCAGATAAACGCAATGTAGTTTTCTTTTAAAATAAGCCTTTACTGAATACATCAACAAGGTACTGTAGTGTAGTTGCAGTTAACAAAGTGTGCGACACAACAGGTCTCGGGGGATGAGTGATGCGGAATCTTCCAGCCCCTCGCAGTCCCGTCAGCGAGAGCACACTCAACACAAACCAGCAGCAAAACGTATGATTCAAACAAGAACAAATCATCAGAATTAGCTTTCAGTGAAGATGTGCGGGTCCTCTGAGAAACGCACAGGGGAGGCGCCTTCACCTTGCCTCTTAAAGGTTATAATGACACCCCAGTGCATGTGTTTGCCGGTGTGCACCCATGTGTTTTACACATGTGTGAGATGTCTGCTGTGATGACCTTGCTTTGTGCTCTTCTCGTGGGTGTGCTGCTAGAAACTGAGACGGCTAACAAAACAACCAGATCTGTGTTACACCGACTGCATCATGCATGTACAAACTTCCTCCCCACAGTCAGTAACAGGCATTCCCAAGCCAGCATGGTCTTCCAACCCGCTAAAGAAGTCAGAGAAGGGACTAAGTGACAGCTTTCTATGTTAGTATTTTGCCTTAAAAGAGCATCCAGCAAGATTGGACAAGAAGATTAAGAACTAGGGAGAGACTTTTGAGTGTTTGTGTATGTATCTTTCCCAAGTTCAGGACTCTTTCCTGCTTTGCCCTCCCACACAGCTGGAAAGGTAGGTAAGTCATGAGCAAAACCATTACTCTCAACTTCAAAAGGGAAACTTAATGTCTCCTAGTTATAGGTTGGAAAAATGTTATGGAGAAAGAAGCCAATGGAAATTAACCACTTCACTGTCAGAAGGTGCAATGGGCTCTGAGCTGAGGTTGGCTGGAGTAGGCAGCATCTGCACCTGGGCACTGCCACAAAGGTGTCTGTTTGCAGTGGATGCTCTGCTCACATGGCCAGTGCATTCTCCTCAGTGGTGAAGGAAGTTCTGACTCCTAGGAAATGTCCATGACCATCGTGATCTGTGCTAGCAGGAAATGGAGCTGTGACATTCGCTGTTTCAGTAACTTGCCAGACTGGGCACATGACACTGTTTTTTTAACCTCGGGAAAATATGGCTACTATATTTTTGACCACCATACAGATAGAGATTGCAGTATTTCTCACAGGTTGAGAGTTTTTCACTTGTTACACAAGGAAAATAGGCTGGGAGCACAGTCTTGTCCTTGCCTGTGATTGTTCCATGTGATGGACCATTAATGCATCTGACAGTTTCCAGGAAAGCCCAGGGCCTCTCCAAGATCAAACACATCTCCCTAAGCAAGCAGGGATTAAAGGCACCCCCCAGCATGAATAAGGAACAGCACTCTCTCTGTGATCATGACTTTGTCTTTTCCTTTAGAATTTCTTCTGCGTGGTGGCATAGGTTTTACCTGAAATCACCTCACTTGGGCAGATGGCATCAAACTCTTTATAAACCAGTGAGGATGGCTTTGTTCATCCTTATCACTCAACTGAACACCTCAAAATACATAACAATGCCCACAACAGCGGGCTAAATACAGGGCAGATGGAGCAACAAATTATATTCTCATAACTAAAAATGTCAGCCAAAGCATAACCCACCACTGATGGTCGTTTAGCAGGTTTCCTAACACACGTTACAAATCTCATGATGTGCGTTGTGTCCTGGTGTAGGTGAGAGCCTCAGGGTTGTCACTACAAACGGGCTGAATGTCATTTGGGCCACTTTGTCACGTTGGGCACCAGATGACAATGAAGCCTGTCATCAGATTCTACCTCTTCAAGAACACCTTCTAGCAAAGGTTCCTGTTTAGATCACCCCAGCCACTTCACGACACTAGGTCCCCAGTGTACCCCTTAGGCCCCAAATCACTCTGAGAATCCCTTAAGACAGCGAAGTCACCTCTCCAGCCTTGGTCTTCTTGGTGCTTCCAAAGCACATAACTTCAGCAGCCAAATATCCCACTGAGGGTTATACTCCCAGCACCAATAACTAAGGGTGACTACTTTGTGGATAAAAGAAAGAAAGCCTCAAAGTACCATCATTTTAACACACAGGTTTATCTACACAGCCAAGTGGAAGAGGGTAGTGGAAGGGAATTATTGAGTTAAATGCACAAGACCCCATGTCGGTGTCCTGACTTTAGATGGCTGACTGCTTCACTGATCACCTGCACAGACTGTCTCATCCCTTCACTGTGTGGCCCTAGCTCTAAAAAAGCAACAGCCAGAACTCACTAGCTAATTGACTAAAACAGAGACCAAAAGCACTGTAGTGTTCTAGTCAAATTAATTCAATTTCCGAGCAACTGATTGCAGAGTTTTAATGATTGTGTCTAGAACATTGTATCTTCAGTTATATTTTTGGCTTATTCTGAGTGATGAGAGAGAATAAAACATAAGTTGGGGCTCTATTGTTAAAGAAAATAAAGCTCTTACTACAAAGAAACAACTTGCATAGCATTTTATACCTAAAACTTTACAAGTAAGACACATCACAGTTCTATTTTTTTTTAAATGAGTGCATGAGAGAGAAAGAGAGAGAGCAAGTGCACAAAAAACATTAACTTCTTGGGTCCCTAAAACAATGGCCAGTTGTAAAGGAAATACCCAACAAAGAGTGAAATGCCTAAATTTGATTTTGAAAAAAATTTTCCATGGGTGTGTTTTTTAGATAACATGTGTGATCTATAGCCCTTCTAAATCTAAGGGAAGGAAAGGAATGAATTATATATGCCTTCTGGGGTGTGGCATGAACATTCCCTCTCTTCTGTACACCCTCTGCTCTGTGCCCAGCTCTGACAAATTTAAAGGAACAAACTCGTCTGACTTGTTTGTTTTTCATCTGTTCTCCTGTTAATAGAAGACTGATTATTCTTCCACAATTCCCAAAGAAAAGAAATATCTATAATTGAAAAGGAATAAATTTTTTAAAATGGGACAGAATCAATGTCCAAGAAAGAAATACATTAATGCTTTTAAAAACTACATTATGCTGGCCAGATGTAATGTGTCCTTACAGAATTTTAGCAGTTAAACTTTGTATCTGTTTTTAATTATGTAAGCATATATGTATATTTTGTGCAACAATGACTGGCATCTTAAAATTCTTTCAAATTTTGAGCAAGGGAGCGGGGGGGAGAAAAACGAACAGCATAAATAGCTAATTACGAAAATATATGTGAGGCAACTGGAAGACAAGAATTTGTGAGGGGGTAAAGGTATTAATTCAAGCTATTTCAACATGATACTAACAAAGGCAATTGACACAGTAGAGGAGGGGCACTGATCACTTGCTTTGTCTACATGGTAATCGATAATGAGTTGTTTTCGTATATTCAAACATCGATCCCTTGCTGATCTAAGTATCATGTTGACGTAGCTGCAATGAATCTACCCAAACAAATAATTCTCATTATCAAAAATAATTCCATTCAATATAATTTTCCCCTTATTTTTATTAGCATCTTCTAAAAAAGTATTCTAGAATATATCTCTGTTGAATGTGATTCAACCTGACATAGAATTTTGAACAGTAACACTTTTAAAGGGAATTTCCTTGCTGGGACATGTCACCTGTCCCTGAAGATGACTAATGTCAGACTCTGGTCTCTAACTCTGTTATCACAAAGGGCCAGGGAAGCATGAGGAGTGATCTTTAAGTTCCTGGTAAGAATGCCAACCCCCAGGTTTAAGGGTCTTTCCAAAATTCATCTCAGGTTTTTGACTCTGCCAGCCTTTTAGCTTCTCTCACAGGAACTGACTTCCTCGTGATGCTTTCTCCATTTCCTATTTTGGGTCAAATGAGGGTATAACTACCTCCATACTTATATATAAGCATCACGAAGCAATATATATATTTTTCATTTTTTCCAGACCAGGAAGTATAGAAATAGCATGAAGATATCCAGGTCCTTCCTTATTTGACCCCTTTTATGTAGCCTACCCTGATGAATCCATTTTCACCTACCCTCTCATCTGACCACCAGCTCTAGGAAAAGAATGCATTTCGACAGCTTCAACAGCAAAGTGGTTAATGTGCATCATAAGGAAGAATCACTCGTTCTTTTGCCTTGGCGTTGGGTTCTCTTTGTACAACCCTGTACAGTACTTCAGCAACTATATATTTTTTTAAGATTTAAAAAGCAAAGAGTTACAAAATTGTTTGTAATTAACTTGAAATAGAAAAGATAGCACTTTTTTTTAAATCCCATTATATAGTACACCATATAAATTACAGACTATTCAAATGCACAAATGCATCTGGGTAACATTTATCAAATGTAATTTTGCGTGTCTTTATGTGCACACATGTGTGTGTTCTTGGGCATTTCACTGTCTGCCTGTGCGACACGGGGCCTCGGCTGTCACGTGTGGCAGTGCTCCAGGTCCGGCACGCTGCTGTTGCAGTATCGCATGTTGTTGGGGATGTGGCAGTCTGTGTAATTAATGCCCCCATTTGGGGTGTAAATGGGCTGCAGTCGGAAATCTCCTTTAAGGAGCTGATCGTTATTTAAGGAGACGATCTGAAAGCTGGTTTCCGTCATCTCCAGGATGGAGTTGTCCTTCTTGGTGCCCGCCTCGCAGTAGTCATCTTTCCGCCGGCCTCGGTTGTATTTCCACTTCTGGGAGGTGTAGCGCCCCTTTTTGTGCATGTGCCAGCAAAAGGCGCTGAGCAAGACCACAAGTACGAATATCACTGCGCCCCCGATCAGGCCCGCCAGCAGAAAAGGGGAACCCATGCTGTGGGAGGTCGTCTGCTCATGGCTGGAAGCAGTGTTGCTGCCATTGTTCAAATAGGAGGCGTGGGTGGTGGCCTCGGAGCAAATGGTGTCTTCTACCGCTCGGTAGTTAAAAGCATCCAGTGGCACCAAACAAATCCGATAGGTGGATCTGGGCTCCAGATTTACCAGGCTCAAATGCTGCTTTTCCCCACTGACTATGCGTTCCTGAACAATGCCCCCAACTAAACTGTGGCCCATTTTCACCCAGGTGAGTTTGTAGGCCATCACAGTAAAGAGAGACAGCCAGCTGACTTGAATGGACGTATCATTCACAAAATGGACAGAGAGCTGGATCCGTTCAGAAATGGGCGGGGTCACTCTTTCTCTGCCATCCCACTCAGGAATAGTGGGAAGTTTGGAGGTGGTAGGAGTTGGAGGCGTATAGCTTTTGCTAGGAGTTAAGACAGAGAGTGTGGGTGGCTGAGTTGTTGGAGAAGCTGTACTTGGAGCTGAGGTGAAGACAGGCAGGCGGGGGGTCGTGGTGGGGCATGACAAAAGATTCATGTTCAACTCCCTGACAGCCATCCCGCGGACTTGCTCAGGGCCTTGGCACATGAAACCTCGGACATTGAGAGATGAAGGGATGTATCTGAGCCATTCTGTGACCCATTTAATACCGCAGTCACAGAACCAAGGGTTGTTCCGAGCAGTGAGCTGTTTCAGGTTGGAGAGATTGTCAAAGACCCCTTGAGTCAGCACGCGCAGCTGGTTGTTGGATATATCCAGCCGTTCCAGCTTACGGAGATTGGAGAAGGCCGTCAGAGGGATGTGGTTTATCTGGTTGTCCTGCAGATACAGCCGGAGCAGATGCGTACCTGGGAGGTCAGATGGGGGGTGGGAGAGCGAATTCCTTACCATTGAAAATTCCTTGAGCTTGGTGAGATGGCTGAAGGTGCCCTCGGCAATGCCTTTGTTGGTCAGGAGATTCCCGTCCACAATCAGACGCTCCAAGCTCGTGAGGTTCTGAAATGCCATGTCTGATATGACAGCGATTCGGTTTTCATCCACTCTCAGCTCTTGCAAGTCCACAGGAAGCCCGACAGGCACACTGCTCAGATGGTTCTTGGACAGAAACAACAACTTGAGGCTAACCGCCTCCCGGAAGGCCCCATCTTCCACCCCCACTGTGGATATAGAGTTGTCATCCAGGTGTAGCTCTTCGAGCTTCAAGAGCTGGGCAAGAGCTGCTCGTGAAATGGTCTGAATGTTGTTCTCCTGCAAATGGAGAACTCGAACATTCTTGGGGAGGTTCATGGGGAACTCGTCCAGCTGGTTGCCGTAAAGGTAGACCGTGTGCACTGACTGCACGCTGTGTAGCTCTGCAGGAAACCCAGCATTATTAATTTGGTTGTTGTGGAGGTAGAGCACGGTTACGCCCTCCGGGATCCCAAGAGGCACTGAGGTCAAGCTTCGCTCGTTACAGTAGACAAAGTTCCTGTCGCAGCGGCACACACTGGGGCACCCCAGGAGTTTGGACACTTGTGAGAAGAGCCCCAGAGAAATGAGAAGCCAAGATTTCAGAAAAAAAGCCCCATAGCTGGGCCACTGTGTGGTCTGCAGGCCCATTGCTAAAGCACAAAAATAAAATACAATGTCGTGGGGAAACGAAAAAGAACAAAGTAGAAAGCAAAACCAAAATGACTGGATGGAGTTCTATCAAAGTCCAGAAATCCAACGAGAGGAAAAGACTCAAAGGCCCACAGTCTAAGAATCTTCCTGCAGTCCCTGGTCGTATCAGCCTGTGTTGACCTCCTTGCTATTGTCCTCCATGTGCAAAAAAGAAAAAAAAATTAACAGAGAGAATTTTCTACACAAGCCAGCAATGAAGCCAAGTTATCAGTGGTCAACAGGGGCTCTGCTGGGCAGGCAGAACACCTGCCTTCCGTTGTACGTCAGAACAGCGTTGGTTAGTCTGTGAACTTCTTGGTTAAGCTCGATCTGCAACCTGTGTAGGCAAGCAGAGAGAAAAGAGTCAGTTGACGGAAGTACTGAAAGAAAGTGTTGACCTGACTGTACTCCTCTCCAGAATGCTGTGATTGGGACTAAATGACTAGAGGCAGGTGATTGGCATTAAGTGATATTTAAGTAACAATAATTTCACTGAAATAATATTCAAGAAATGAAATGACTCAGTTGTCTTCAAAACAAAACCATACTGTTACCTCTTATTGTCAATGATTATACTGTGAATTTTACAATCCCAATCAATACCATCTCATAAGTACTATTTGCATATCCATAGGCGCACTGATAAATCCTCTGATTAAAATAATGAGATAACTACAAATCAGACTGGTTGACATCCTGTTTCAAGATGAGACAAGTAAATGAGGAATTAATAGAATTTTAGGGGAAAATGTGAAACCTTTTCAAGTTATAAACAAGCAAATGCAAAATGGCCACTGACACAGTCACCTCAAAAAGATCTAGCCTTTGATCTGACACCTTGAGGAAACACTACAAACCTAAGGCACAGAAGCTTGTGTGAATGCAGAGAGAAGACTTTCCTTCCCCATTTTCTGCCTCTTCTCATCTTTAGTGTTCCTCTAAAATAACTGACATCCTGGTGACCAAGGAGAATGATCACAGTCCAGTCCAGAACTCATTGTCCCTCATCCCCTCCTTCGGAACCTCCAGATGTAGATGAGACAGGCACCTGTGAGCCCTTTGAGAGTCGCAAAACGCATGACTGGGAACACATTATTTTTCAACAACACAGCCTTCTTCCCAGCTGTGAGATTTTCCTGCTTTTCAAGGAGAACTTTCAGGAAACTTTGAAATGATAGACGGCACAGTTACGGAAGTAAAGGCAACCTACAGATAAGTACTCCTGCCTTCATGCTCCAGAACTTGTCCCAACTGTTTTTAGATTAGAGAGGTAAAGAAGTTAATTGAAAGGTGCCAGATTTGATTTTCCTACAAAATAAGCCAACATGACAAGACATGGAAAGCTGAGTCTCTCAATTCTCACCAATAACCAGAGATTGAAACAACTTACATCAAAAAGCATGAAAAACTATTTGAAATTGCTCCATTAGCTTTCTTTAGAAACATAATTTAAAAAGAAAAAAAGTTTAAGTGCCATTTAAATGGCAAGGATAGCGAATATTTTTCTACAATGTAAAAGTTTGTGAACCATATGAAAAAATGCCTTTGATGACCATAAGTGGTAAAACTCACTATTTATTATTCAGAGTTATTTTAAATTGGGGTAGAGGTGGCAGTATCTTTCCAGGAAAACAGATGTATATGATCCTTTGGAAAAAATTTTAAAAATACTTAATTTGTTAAACTTACAAATATCTGTTTTGCCTGATCATTAACCATTGCCTTCTTACAAAAACCCTCTATGCTTCAAGAATAGTCTACAGTACAACCAAAGGGAGTGTAGGAAAAATGAGTTTGATGCATAAGCTTGCTGCCATTTTTGGCTCAGGTTTCGAATTTTCAAAGCATCTCAATGTTCCCTAATAGCTTGTTACTCAAGTGTGATCCTTGGTCCAGACGCATGAGTGTGACCTCTGTTGCTGAAAACACAGTATCTACATGTTAGTCAGAGCCTTGGATGGGCATATTAAAATTTGACAAACACCACCCAAAACAGTGCCATTTAATTTAATCATTCAAATATTTGAAAGTATCACATGTAAAATAAATGTAAGAGCATGCCAAATGACTCTTTCAAGAAGAGCAAAGGCATCAGGCATATTCACCACTTCTGTCTCCAACGCATAATCTCAAATTGCATCTTACATGCAAATGACATTTTATAAGCGGAGCAGCGCAATGACTAGAAATGTTTCCTTGGTGGACTCTTGAAAAGTGTTTATCTGAATGTCAAGAACGAATGTCTGTAGGAGTCACTGGTAATCAGAGGAGTCCAATTTTGTAAAGCATGACTTATTTAAGAACATGAAACGGTACTATTTGTGTTTACTTTTCAAAAGGGGTAGGATATGAAGATGGAAAGCAAATCTAGTGTATTTTCTAGTTCTCTGCAAGAATCTTCAAAGTGTGATGTGAACACACAGAGCATAAAATTTCCCAAGGGTGAGAAACAGCTGTACCAGGGTCTCCGAACAAGTTCCTCTGTACAAAGAACTGATGCTCAACTCTGTTTACAAGCCAAGGTTTTAGGGCCTGAAAACAGTAAACCAGACTTGAAAATGACAGCATTTACTTGGAAAGCTCCTCAGCTACCAGCCGCAAAGCAGAAATCACTAGGAGTTAACAAAGTGCTCAGGGATGGACCTGGGGACTTTCACTGTGCAAACAAATTATCAATTTTCAACTTGCTGAGTTGTGTGCTCTGCAGAAAGAGGAGGAGTAAGTCCCTCTGCCCCAGATCTCATGCCCTTGCAGGTGTCTGTTATTGTGTTTCTTCTCCAATTACATAAGAAGAGGGAGTGGTCCTGAAGATGGCTCCTCATAGGATTACAAGGGGCAAATTATCACTGTTTATCCACCTTCCTAGGAGAAAAGTTCCATCTAGATCACAACGTCTTGATCAGTTATCACAACTGCTGGTTGGGGTGAGCACAAACTCTTAGGGTTTTCTCTGAGCATCTTGGGAATCCCACAAACTATCAGTGCCCAGTGTATTTGCTCTTATCCTTGGACCCGCAACAGCCTACATATCATGTCAGCCAATATATTGTCTCTCTGTTCACAGCAGCACAAGTATAATATCGCAGACATGCAGAAAAATATTTTTGAATTTCAGTGGGTTAAAATTTCCTCTATATGTTCAGCTCTAGTTCCTACTGAATACCTAAGGCAGAAATAGCACTAAGTTATAGTCAAAAGGCTGGGCCCTGAGAGCTCATCCTATTTCTGACCCCCAGTAGCCCTGGGACTTTGGATAAATCAATTCTTAAGTCTCAGTCTTCTCCTATGAGAAATGAGGATAATATAGTTCCTAACTCACAACACTCTTGGGTGGATTAAATTGGATAATAGGGTGAAAGGCTTATATGGTGCCTTACACATATCGAAAACAATATTACAAATGGTTATTATTTGTGTACTTATTATTAGTACTGTCCAAAGATGTAAACTCCAACATGCAAAGAAAAATAAAATCGTATTTGACCTGCTAACATCTGTGCCCCTTCACTTACCCCAGGATTTCTCAACTTCAGAACTATTGACATTTTGAGTCTAATAAGGCTTTTGCTGTGGGTTTGCCCTGAGCACCCAAACATGTCCCCAGACAGTGCCATGTGCATGTCTGCTAAGATAGCAAAACCTCCCAAGTTGAGAACCATTCTTCTAAGGACCTGAGGAAGGTAACATTTTACTTTGATGTTACAGAGGAAAGTCAAGGTAAGTTTCTAATAAATGCTAAAAATGCTCCTTGCTTTGGACACTGGAAATGCAATATGTTTTTCATTCATTTATTCAATCAATATTCATACAACATAGAATGAGTATACAGTCTTTTGCAGAGCTGACGTGGTTTCTGGCTTCCTGAGGCTTAACGTTTAGTGAGGGGAGAAAACAGAAGAACACAAGGAATACAATGCTGTGTAAGCAGCTCTAAGTCTGGGGCCTCAGGGAATTATATACTGTGTATGAAGTTCTAACTTAGCCCATGGAGTATCAGAATAAAAACATTGAAGGAGGACTGTTTAAGTGATGATCTGAAGGATAAGAAGGAGCAAGCCAGGGACCATTCAAAAAGTTCTGCTCATGGACCCAAGCTGGTGATCATGTGGATCAAGAGGCAAATCCCAAACCAGCTGAGAAAAGGAGCAAAACTTTGACTTTCCCTGAACTTTGTCTGCTCCTCACCTAGGCAGTTCTGTTTTTAGAAGATCAGAAACAAGCTCGTGTTTCAAAATCATTTGCCATTTCATTTGTGAGTCACTACTGTTAGGAATAAACAGGCTTAGCCATACAAGTTAAATTTAAAATATGGAAGCCACGGTTGTGTTTTTTCTTTCCTATTTGTTTGCTGCATTAACTGCATTTCCCCTCCAGGAAACCGGAGATGATGAAGAACAGCTTTGTGGAAGGTGCTAGGGAAAGGCAGAAATGTTTATTGACAAGCTGAGAACAGTTTCAAAGGCATGGGTGTAAATCAACCAATGCACTTTGGAGACAGCAAGACCTGCCCCTGCAGGTCTGGGAACAATGACACTAACAGCAGAAGTTGTTCCAGACTACTTTACTTTAACTCTTTTCATCGGAACTGAAACTCAAAGCACACAAATCATAGAAAAGCTTGCTGCAAAGTGTTTCTTTCCTAGTGCTGCCTAAGAAGGTTTTTGGTTCTTTTAAATTAATTCCAGGATCCTCTCTTCCAGGAGCACTGAATAAACTCAGACTATAAAAAATCGTAGTTCAGAAAATAGGAACTGTCAATAAGTATCACCGATTGCGTAATATAATGATACCAGGACAAACCTAATAAAGTCTTAATGGTTTCAACATGGCTGGATTGGGACAAGATAGCACAGTGCAGGAAGCAATGCTGATACCAAGAGATGGGCTGTAGACAGGTTGTCTGGATGCTGTGAGTGGACTGAGGGCGTGGCACCCAGCCAGACAGTACTGTCATGAACTACCTGGAGCCACTGTTAAGGATACTGAGTTTTATAACACTCCCATGGGCTAGCCGCTTTGCCCAGGTAACTGAGCTCCTGCCTTGTGAGGATGCTCCGCTGATACCAAGTGCTCTGCTCCTGACTGCTGACCCCCACCTCCATCCTTCAAGGTCTAGTCCTTGGCTCTGCCTGAAAGGTCAGGTGGGGTTTCCAAGGTCCCTTTACTTTGTTGGTGGGCCTGGAGTATGGGCAACTTGCTGTATGTGGGAACTAAGGCATGGGGGCAGGCACGGAGATAACTGAACTCCACCGGAGTCTCCCACCCTCCTGGGCAGGATGAGGACAGGAGGACAGCTAGGATAGGAAGAAAAGCCCCCCTATACCCTTCTGGTAATGG